GAAACCGGAACGCTCAAGTCCTTTTGGGGGCTAACTGAGTCACTTCAGGAAAAACCTCAGGCAATATACTAGTTACAGCTCAGACAAAGCACCTTCTCGGTATTTCTATAACTTTTACCTCTGGGTGCTTAATGAACAGAATCCCCAAATCTCTCAACAGCCCAAACTCACCACCAACAGCATCTACTCAGCCCCTGGCAATCCCTTGGAGATTTGTTAATTTCCATTAGATTTCACTTTTCATCCATGCCTTGACTTACTGCATCTGATACTGTGACGTCAAAACGGGCATGCTAATCACCTATCAATCAAGCACCTAGCTGTGCCAGGCACTATGGAAAGGGCCAGAGACAAAGGCCAAAACAAAATGGTTTCTGCTCAATCAATAAGTATAAATTAAGAACTTAACGCATCTCACCATGAAACTCCAAGACTACACTTCTGGATATTTCAAAAGCTGAAGATGTGAGTTAGGATAGATGCTCCCATTAGATGCTCCCATGCTCCACAAGACCCTAGAGGATCCTTTTCAGACTGCCTGGGGGCTAAGTCAGGAATAGCCCCCAAGGTGGAGTTATGAGGCCTAGCATGAAAGATAAGACATTTTGCTTGGTTTTGGGGGCAGTGGTATCAGCTTGGATTGGCAGGACCTGGGAAAAGAGATATGTTCCTCAGACAATGTAGGGCTGAAGTGATGGGCATGGTGGGAGAGATGGATATTAACACCTGAGGAAACCCCTGACCAGGCTGCAGGTGAGGCGTTGGGGCCAGGCATGGACCCATGCCAGGACCTGCGGGTCCATGACAAGATCCGTTGTGGTGGCTGGCCAAGCCATGGTCACAAGCCCGTACAGAGAAAGACCACAGCTGTTCACACTATCTGGATGGGCTTCCCAATAAAACGGAGGCCTTGCCCTCTACCTAGCTACTGCTTCCTAGAGTCTTCCAGCCTTGCCAACACTATGCCTTCCAATGGCCCAGCACTGTCACCTGCCTGCTGCCTGGCCACCAGAATGGAATCTGCCCTGCAGCTGACATCTTTGATATGGGCTGTCTCTCCCAATTAGAATGTGAGGTCCTTGGGAAGAAGAACTGCCTTTTTTTTTTTCCAGTTCTTGGCACATAATAGGTACTCAACAAATGTTCATCATTGACCAGCTGATATACACCAAAGTCCCTGCCCTGTCATTTGGGGACTGGGGGAAGCAAGGAATGATACAAAATATTCACAGATAAATTCAAAATATATACAAATAAATTAAAACTATCGGAGGTGGGTTATTAATTGTTGTTGTTTAGTCGTTTTTCAGTTGTGTCCAACTCTTTGTGATACCCTTTTGGGGTTTTCTTGGCAAAGATACTAGAGTGGTTTGTCATTTCCTTCTCCAGCTCATTTTATAGATGAGGAAACTGAGGCACACAGGGCCAAGTGACTTGCCCAGGGTCACATAGCTAGTAAGTGTCTGAAGCCAGATTAGAACTTGTGCCCTTTTGACTCCAGAGCCAGTACTCTAGCCACTGTGCCATATAGCTGTCCCTGAGTTATTACTCAGAGGAGCTACTGAGTTGAGTTTTGAGGAGAGTTAGGAATCCCAAGAGGATTAGGTGGGAAGAGTATTCTGGGCCTAGAGGATCAGCCCATACAAAGGCAGAAGTGAGACAGAAAATGTTGTGGACAGAAGGTCAGAAAGGCAAAATGTTGAATTTCTCCCTCTAGGCCCAAATTCCTAAAAGCTGGGCTTTTAACTGGGGTCCTGATATATTACAGAACACAAAGCTCCGTCCTCATAGCTGAGACATTTTCCTGATTGTAAACTCATCAATAAACTAAGAGCAGTGGGAGTTGGGCAAATATTGCTTTTCTATGCTGATTAGCACAGCATCTAACATCTGTACAGCCAGCCAAAGAAATACAGAAGTCACTGTGCGCGTTTCAAACCCTTCTCGGCCTGTATTCGCTAAGACTATCACTCATTAGCATCAGGAGGGAGACGGAAATGTAAACATGGGGTTTGTGACCAGAAGGAAATTAAAATGTGATGATGACTCACACAGCCCGTCAAGTTGGAAGCTGCCCTGAAAATGATATCCTGCCTTTAATGACTCCGCTATTCACCCCGAGGAATTACAGGAAAAATACCTCCTGGCTCAGAACACTGCAGGACGGGAAATAATTCTGATAGCCCTGGAAGGGGGGCCCAGGGAACAAGGATATTGTCACCACAAGGCGCAGAGCTAAGGCTTGGATCAATGGTATATTCCTAAGAAAAATGCAATTCAAAGGCCATGGAGCAGGCTCAATGATGGCCAAGAGTTCCATTTTGGGGGACTCTCTAGTATCTTACTCATGCCAGCTGTGGCCTAATATTTAAAATTTTAGATGGTAGTTCAATGAGTATCCAATAGGAAAGAAGACCTCTCACACTGTAGTGACTCTGTAGAATGGTAATGCATTTAGATGCTTGACTACAAAACCTAAATAAATTATGGAGATATTCTTGGCCAACAGGGCCAGTACAATGAGAACTTAAAAAAAAAAAAAACTGCTTTGAAGAGTTTCAAATGCTAAATAAATTTATACGTGAGAAGAGCTAATAGCCAGCATTTCATGGTTTGCAAAGTGCTTTACATGTATTGTCTCATTTCCACATACAAGGTGACCCCAGAAGGGAAGGAGTAGCAGATCCCATTCAGGTATCATCCCAAGATCTCTATGAAGGAGATAGAATGGGCACTGCTGGGTCAGACCTGGTATTTTACTGATGCAGAGAATGCCCAGGGAGGAAATTTATCAATATTCATTTCTCAACTATGGACTAAATTATATGTAAAGTCACATCCCATTCTATATCTATGGCCCAATGAATGGAGGGAAAGAGGGAAAGATGGAAAGGGAGAGAAAAAGAGAAAAGGAAAAAAGGAAAGGAGGGAAAGAAATCATAGGAAGGAAGGAAAGAAAATAGGAAGAAAGAAGGAAGGAAAAAAAAAAGAATGGAAGAGAAGAATGAGGTCAAAGAGCAATGACCTAAGTTGGCACTAAGCATGGGACTCCAGGCCACCTGTGTTGGGGCCTTTGTGACTGGAAGTGGTCAGTTGACACTGTTTATATATTCCTACTGAAACACATGATCTGCTCATTTCTTTCCATCATCCTGCCAAGATACTTCTATTACTGACCAAAAAGGAATATGGCCAACAACTGAGTCACAACCACCATTTCCTGTAGCACCTGGGTTTTCCTTGCAGGTCTCCCATCCAAGTTGTCCACTGGTCACCATGACCTTAATGAACTCATGAAATCACAGTCCAAGGCTGAATAGCCACAGGAAACACAAGAGATATAGATCGATGCCTGGTCTGCACACATGCACAAAGAGAGACGCATGCCTTACGTTAGAGGATCCTGTGGCAAAACTGAGCCATCCTCAAAATCATAAAAGAGCAAGATCCTGGGAAACATCAGGACACAAGAAAAACTTCAAGCTGGTGTGACAAACTGGAAAACTGAAAAGTGTCTGAAAGCTCGCCTTTGCTAGGATTTCACTCATCCTTGGGGAATGGGAAGATGCTACTGATTACATGTTCACAGTCCAGCACAGCTCATTCCCAGCTCTCTCTGTCCCCTATAACATTTTCTCAGCAGGGACCATCTGGGCGGTTTCATTTTTCAATCAGACCACCTTAAATAAAATAATGCCTTATTTGTAAGGCATCCTGGTCAAGCCTGACTCTTAAACAGCCTGTATACCCTTGAGCTCGTTGCTAAGTTCCTGAGAACAAGAGATCATTGTCTTTTGGTTTCTTGGAACCCAGTCTGTTCAGATGTAATCCAGATGGGGAAATAAGCTTCTGCTGAAAGTGGTGAAGGGTCTTCTCACACATCAAATTCTATCTCGCAAATCCCACTGGGCAACGATCATTTTACAGTTAGTTAAATAACAACAACAGTAACAGTAACAGTAACAGCAACAACAATGCCTTTGGTTTTCCACATCTGACAAGCTTTTAAAATTGATTCATTTATTTTTGGCTTAAATCTGCAATCTTCTCAATCCTTCTACTCCCTAAAGTTTAATCCGTGGATATTAGTTATCTTGCATTTCGAATGGAATGACCTTCTTTTTCCTGTGCCAAAATCTCCAGGCTGTTTGCAAAATCGCTGATACTGAGATAATCACTGGGAAATAGAATAGTGCAACAAAAAAATGGCCAAATAGAGCCATGACCCAGATTGCTAAAAATGAATGGCACGTGTTAGAAACAAGGCCTTCTGAAGCAATTGTTTTTCAAGCTGAGTTTCTGCCAATCAACTTCATGCCACACTGGAACTAGGTCATGACAATAATCAATAAAGAGTAACAGATTACAGAATGCAAAAACAAAAACACCCTACCCGTGTTGTTAAGATGGTGGCATAAATTCCAACGAGGGTTCCATAGAATAATGTGACTCTAGAACAGTTCTAGACTAACATTGCATGAAAGAATTTTTAAAGGACAGAAGTACAGAACGAGATACTGACTTTGACTCGATGAGTCAAAATGAGTCTATGAAACTGACAAAGGGGAGAAGAAAAAAGAAATATTTTTCTTCAGCCATAACCATGATTTCTTACTATTTAAAATTCAAATTTAATTGTGATGGCTTGTGGGCATCATCAAAAGATTAAAAAATATAATTGAAGATGCTTGATTAATAGTTAAACAGACACAGAACAAAATTGCCAGAAATGGTAAGAAAGATGAGCTTATTTTTTACTTGAGTAGCACTCTTAAACATAAATGAGATGCATTAATTTGAAGAAGTGTGTGCCTAGCACTTTATTCTGCCTTACTTTTCAAAAGTCAATAATTACGATTGAGTCTTACCACTTTTTCCATGCTTCATATGGTTTTTGTTTATGCATAATATTTCTTTGATACTGGTATAATGACACCTAGTCAATGAATTCTTTTTTAAAAGTGAATGGTATTTTAATAGATGGATAAAAAGATGCCTACCTCATCCCATTCTAAAAGGTAGCTGGTGACCTTTGAACCGTTGTCAATTGGTGCCTTAAAAAAAAATAAAGGAAACAAAGGAAATTAGTATAGATTAAAATTAAATGTCCTATCCCTCCACTTTACCTGTGATAGGCCTGTGATCTTACTGGTGTGAGTAATTCCCTTCACCAGTGTAGATTGTGGCCTGCCCTTGTTTTCTGTTCTTGTGAGGTCTTTGAAGAGATCTTTCAGCACATCTTCCACAAAGGGTCTAACCCAATGCCTTCCCTCCAATTCTTCAATGTCTTGAGAGTATCAAAGACTACCATATTATTGCATGAATTACAAGTGCTCTCAAGACCTCCAAACCCCCAACATACTTAATCCAGCCAGTCACAAACCAACCCAGCCACCAAACCTTACAATTTGTCTTCCAGATGCTACTGAACAGAACTTATGTCCCTCGGTAACTCATTTTTAAGCTCATTCATAAATCACACTGGAGCGAGCATGTGCTCTACAAAACCAGCTACACTTTAAACTTCCTGAGGGAGGAAGCTGTGCATGTGATTTCTTTTTTTGGATGCTGCCCTTAAGAGTTTTATATAATGGGCAGTCAATTCATGCAGCTGACACACTGACAAACAGTAGTCTGGGAATCTTTTATGCTGGCTTTCTTCTCTCAGTAGCAAAGCAAATTAAAGTAAAGTGGGGAGGGGGATGAGGAGGATACTGACTACTACCTTTACCACCAAAGAGCTGTTCGGAGAATAATTGTGTCTACTAATCTCTTGTAGCCTGAGTAATTCTAAAGTCTGGGGGGCCCATGATCAAGAAATTAAAATTAAAACTGAAATAGGTGCTTTCATTTCCAAGAGTACTGAAGAGGCCTGGGATATATTTTTGAGGACTAAGTCAATAAAAGGTCGATGTGAAGGGATTGCTTTCTTCTTAATTATTAAAACTGCTGGGATGGTGATAGACCACCCAAGACCACAATTTCATCCAGTTGGTTTCAAGCAGAGTCTAAATCTATGATTTCCAACCCTGATTGTTGTGCAATTCCCAAGGCTATCTTTAGTTATCTTGACAAAGGTACCATAAGATCCTCAAAACAAAACTGGTAATTAGACTTTTCCCCCCAAGAGATAAATATAGGCCATACAGCACTTTTAGGAGGAGACGTCTACATGTCAAGAAATCAAGTCAACAGTGATAGGGAGCTGTGAGTCCAGAAAGTTGGGTAATCACTGACCTGGATTATCCTTGGAAGCCAGGAGAGAAAATAGGATGGTTCAGTTTCTAAGCCAATTTCAACTTTGGCCTATTGGCTGAGACAGTCATAAAATGATGACTTCATCTAGACTACTGGATAAGTAACTTGTGGTTGCCTGTCCAGGTAGGATCACAGGGGAAGCCTGTGCTTCACAGGTAACCCTTAGAAGTAATACCTCATCACTCCCCTGGCTGCATTTCACTGCCTGTTCTAGGTATACAATGGGGAAATAATCCTTAAGAGTAATTGCTTTTTTCAGCTGTCCGCTTTCTCTGTTTTTAAGCTCCTGGGTCTTCAAGCAAAGGCTGGATAACTACCAGTCACACTGGGGAGGGGATGCCACATAGGCGAATTCCTGGTTAGGTACTGCTTGAACGATTTGGTCACTGAGGTCCCTGCCATTTGACACACTATAGTAGCTTTTACAATGCCTTTCTTTCTTTCTTTCTTTTTTGTTTTTTTTTTTTAATTTTAATTAATTTTTTTTATTTTCAGTTTTCAATATTTACTTCAACATTTTGAGTTCCAAATTTTCACCCCATCTCTCCCTTCCCCCCACCCCAAGATGGCATGCATTCTGAATACCCCTTCCCCTAGTCTGCTTTCCCTGCTATCTCTCCCCCCCCTTCCCCTTCTATTTTCCTGTAGGGCAGGATAGATTTCTGTACCCCATTTCCTGTATTTCTTATTTCCCAGTTGCATGTGAAAACATTTTTTTAAACATGTGTTTTTTTTAAACTTTGTGTTCCAAATTTTCTCCCTTCCTCCCTCCCCACCCACCCTCATTAAAAAGGCAAGCAACTCAATATAGACTATACTTGTACAATGCCTTTCATAAGAATTTACTAATTCTGCCTCTAAGCAATGACAGTAAGAAAAATCTGGGTCATCTTGGCCTTTCAGGGCTGGCATCAGACCTAAATAACTAGGCCCATTAGTCTCTGGTAGGGGGAGGAGGAAATGCTTCTGAGTTTCGTATCAGCAAATGTAAAAACCAACATTGGGAATATAATTCAATGTTAAGTCAGGGACTAACAATGGTTGTCTGCAATTATCTGCATAAAAAGGCATTTCCTTGAGATAGTCGATAATTCCCGCCTTTCCTTACTCCATACTTGGAAACTGGACTTGGCCTAGTCTAGTCTGAATGAAAGAGATTTTACTAGAGTTTAGAAAATGTTAACACATTTAATTAACGTTGAGTCTCAATTATATTAAAAAAGCAGCATACACATACACATAGATTCAGTGGCTGTGTTCAAAGTTTATCCTAATTTTCTTTCTTTCTTTTTTTTTTTTTTTGGTAAGGCAACTAGGGTTAAGTGACTTGCCCAAGGTCACACAGCTAGTACGTGTCAAGTGTTTGGTCTGAGGCCGGATTTGAACTCAGGTCCTCCTGACTTTAGGGCTGGTGCTCTATCCACTGCACCACCTAGCTGCCCCTCCTAATTTTCATCCCAGTTTTTGCCCAATGCTTTTCCTACATGTCACTTTTGCTATCTGACCTTTGACTTGTGCATATAAATACTCTGCAGGATTTGAAAAGCATTGCTCAGAGTGATTACTGATTGAAAGGAAAAGAATCACAACCACTTAAGTAGAGAAAAAGGAATCAAGAAGTCACTGGGAATCTTTACTTGATTAAAACCATGAAATTCAAGGTGACTGTGTAAATAGTCCAATGGGCCCATGGCCTCAGTGTGTTAGGGGTGAACCCTTTAAGAATGCAGGTCAGAGCGACTACCTGCCTACCCATCCCATGGAACATGGTAAAACTCAGGCTAAGTTTTAATCATGACTCTTGCACCCATGTTCTGATTCTGACCACCGAATTACCCCTTCTGTGATCTCTAGAGATGCGCTTTCTGGCTCCCACTAAAATAACAAATACATACAAATGACTTCCAGAATGTCCCCTTTTAAATTTCTGCACCAAAAATCCAGTAAACAGCACCCAACCAGACACATTCACTGGATGGACTCATGATAAATGATAACAATTATACACTAGTCATTGAAGTATTTATATAAAAGTTAAATAATGATCACAACTCAGTATTTAGATCAATTGTATGATAATTTCTGGCACTCTGGTTTACCTACCTTCCACTGTAAGGTGAGTGAACTTTTGGTCCGATGTGACAGCTTGGGTGGGTAGGGACTTTCTGGGGCACAGCTGTGAGTGGTGAAACTAACGGGTTCAGAGCATGATCCCTTTACCGAATTGTACATTGCATATACCCTGAAAAGAAGCACGTACATACATCCGTCCATACATTATGTACATACATACATGGATTCTGTGGCAAAGACCAAAAATGATCCTAATTTTTATCTCAGTTTTTGTCCAGAGCTTTCCCCATGTGTTCCTTTTACTATTCAAACGACAATGCATTCTTCAAACCTGCTGGCCCTTTATCTCCTTTGAATTCAGAATCATTAGGACATAGAAAGATCTCAACAGAAGTTCTTCCACTGGTGTTTCCAAGTGCTACCTTTTAGAAGAAACCCCACCTGGTCTAGCTGCTACTGCCTTTCCACTCCCAAGTACAAAGAACTGGCAGTATTTGGTCAAGGGAAGACTCACTGGGGCCATGAGAGTTGTGGTCATGTATTTCAAGAGCTTCCTTGAAGAGGGGGATTAAACCTGTTTTTTTGAACCCCAGAGGACAGAATCATGGACAAAAAGCGGAAGCTACAAATTTGGGCTTATCAGGAAAAGCTTTCAGGAGCTGCCCCCAAATGGAATTTGTCTTTTGCAGGAGGTAGGCTGGATACCCACTAGCTGCATCTGTAACAGTTGAGATTTCATTCAGAAAGGAGTTGGCATACATAGATACTAAGATGCCTTTCCACCACTCAGATTCAGTGATTTTGTATATTAAAGACTTGCCTAGAAACACCCTCGCTTCCTGCCAAGAGCAGATCCACATGCTGAACTCACTGCAGAACCTCGCAAACAAATCCTCAGGAAGGATGCCAATATGGAAGGCAGGAGAGGCTAGTCATTCAAATGCAAGGCATCAGCTCTGATTTCAGGCACGGGTACCAAATCTCTCTAGACATAATAGGCAAGAAGGACACCTCCAACTTTGGTGCTTCATTGACATTTTCTCTATCCCTATTAGAAAGCAGCATGAACTAATTTATTCAAGGGATAGCTGAAAATGTTTTCAGCATCTGATAACTAGGTCTGCTGGGGTATTTTTTTCCCACTGAAACACAAAATTGGAAAATGGTTCTTATCAGATTCATCTTATAACATTTTCTCTTCCAAAAATGGAAGAATAATCTTTATTTTGAAGTTTGTAGGGATCCTACTAGCCATGCCTAATTTATCTTTCTTCTAAGCCAGAAAATTTTGTTACCCTCATTTTGTTCTAGAACATACTACCCTCCTCGTGCACATAAAAATACAATTTATTCTGATTGATTTATCATTTGCTCAGATCTGAGATTTCATTACTAAGGTGAAATCATGGTGTGAGATCCCCCTCTGCCTATGTAGATGAGTATCTTGTCTACAATGGAAAATGTTACATGGAGTTAGCTACAATGGCATAGAGAGGTCATCACCATTTTCACTGATAGGAACCTGTATTAAGTGTTCTAGATTCCACCAAATAAAGAGAAACAGAAGAGGATATAACGGCATATTGAAGCTCAGCAGAGGGAAACAATGAGCACTATTTCTTTGTTTAAAATTGAATATAATGGATTCCTAATAATCAGAAATAGATGGCTTGCATAACAATAGCTTATCTGAATATAAATTAGTATAGGAGTCCTATTTCTGGGCTATATTAATGCAAATATAGCAGAAAATGAATTAAAAATTTAGAATTGTACATTCTCTGGGGTTAAAAGTGGGACATCATTCATTTATTCCTCATACAGTTTTATAAAAATTTTTCATAGTTGTATTTTTATCGCTGAAAGTTTTCTGTTCATGAGAACTAAAATACTTACTTCTCTTTAACAACAACAACAAAGACAATTAGAACAACACATCAGAGGTAGGAGATGAGCCTCAGTTTCCAGGAAAGGGTGGCTCATTAGTTCCCTCTTCCAAACTGCCAATCACTCTCTGCCTGGCAGGGCTCCCCAGTAAATATAAGGAACTGTTCTGGTTTGGAGACATAGTTCTATTTGCCAAATGCTTATGAAAAATGAGGTATCCCAAATAGGTTTGGTACTGGGATCTATCAAAATACTTTGTCCATTTAAATTAAATTATTCTTTACATTCTGATGAACCAATGGCCACAACATGGAATTAGGTAAATCAGCGCCATTGTTATTAGCAAGTCCTGGAGGCGAAATGCTGGTAGATAGATACATGTTATATGCATCACAGAGACACTGAGTCCAAAGCGTTTTTATATCCATTATATGGCCCAGTCCAAAGGGCTAGATTCAGAGTGAGGAGAAAGTGGGGTTTGAATCCGGCCTTCGTGACCTTGGGAAAGTCATTTAACTTTCTCTGGCCTCAGTTTCCTCATCTGTAAAATGAGGGAGTGTTGGACTAGCTGCCCTCTTAGGTCTCTTTCAGCTATAACGCTAAGTCACTTAATCTCCCAAGGCCCCTGTTTTTTTTGTCTGTAAAATAAAGGTGCTGGACTAGACATGCTCTAACATTCTAGGTCTGGGGTTCTCTGATACACTGTATTTTATGATACCATTTGTTTTGACATCTCCACTGGGCTGGTGAATGCCAGACAGCAGGGGAAGGAGAGGGAAAGAGGAAGAGAAACTGGAACTCAAAATTTTAAAAAAAAATGAATGTTAAAAATTCTTATTACATGTAAATTGGTAAAGAAGTAAAATATTATTTAAAAAGAAATAAATCAGCCAGTTTACCTCTATCCGGAAGAAGGGAAAGTCACTTTATTTAAGAGAAAACAACAATAGCCCTTTTAAAAAAAAAACCCAAAAAACCCCACAATTAATGCAGTGTTGCAGAATTCTCCACATTCACTGGAGGTCAAGTCCTGGCAAAATGCTGCTGAAGCAGGTGCATGAGGATTCTCAGAAATGTGCCCTGCACTGTGTCCCCCGAGCACATCTGTAACCTGATCAGCTGGTGCCCCATCACCCTGTCAGCAGGGACAGCCACATACTGAAAGCAGGTTTGGGGAGATGTTTCATCACGTCATAATTGGTCTGGGAAATGTTATCCGCAAGATCACATTGTTGGCAAAGTTAGGGGGCCAAACTTTTCCGCGGCTGCTGAGTGATCAGAACAATGCTTGTCACTAAAAAGCAGAGAACCCAGGACCGAAAGGTCCTGCTAAAGTCGGTGAAGAATCAACAATTTTACAGAATTTCAGAGCAGGGAAGGGTCCTTACAGACTAGCTATTCCAACACTGTCATTTTACAGAGAAGGAAATTGAGGCCAAGGAAAGTGACTTGTCCAAAGTCACATGGATAGAGTCACACCTGGCAGAGAACCACGTAATTAAACAGCAAGCACTTACAAAGCACCTGCTGTATTCCAGACAGTGTGCTAGGTTCGGAGGATACAAACACAAGGAATTAAATGGTCTGTATCCAAATCTGCTGATCACAAATCCAGGGCTCTTTGGGAAATTTAAATTATTCTGATGCTTTTTAAAGTATGAGATAACATATTCTTAATTAGGTCTAACATACTAGGCAGTAGAGAGAGAGGGAGAGCAAGAGTTTTAAGACTTCGCTTTAGTAGAGAAGAAAGGTGTCCAACTCCAGAATAAACGTACCTGGGAAATGATTAACAAAAGAAAAATAAAAAGAAAAAATAGAATACAACATTGATAATGTTCATCTGTGATTTTCAAAGTCAAATTGCAAGAATGTATCTATTTGAGTTTGACACCACTGGGCTAGAAGATGGGTGTGCTGGAGCCAATTAGTTGGAGAGAGCCAATTATTAAATCTATAGTATGAACATTTACACCTTGGAAATTAGGGAATGCTACAAATCAGGACTGATTTCTTGTTTTGCTGCTTATCTAGACTTAAGAAGGTAATGGAGAAAATGTTAATAATTCAGATTAAACTTAAAACTGTGTTGTGGGTGCATTTCCTGCCTGCCAGAGAGCCAGCTGTTAAATATTTATCTGAGCACTCATGACAGATATACCCAAAGTGTAGATAGGAAGGGGTGGCAGGAGGTGTCCCAGTACAACCTGGGCTCAGTATTACCACTGGTTCCTCCCCTAATGGTATAATGCTCACCTAAGCTATACATGTTTACGAAGGAGATAGAACAGGATGGGGATTTTTTTTAAAGGGATATTATAAACATGATGCAGAAGAAAAAGCAACAGTTTTAGAGTCAGAGGCCTTGGATTCAGATCCTGGCTCTGCCCCTTACTATCTGGGAAACCTCAGTTTCCTCATCAGTGAAATGAGAGGATTAGACTGAGTGACCTCTAAAACATGTATTAGCTCTAGAATTACCACAGTTATCCAAGTAGGAGGGAGCGAGTGACCAAAGGAACCATAACTGATTTAATGAGTCATTTCGCAGTTTCACTGTACCGGCCTGTGTACTTAGACATGCATGCTTAATCTTTGAGATGAGCACGTGCTACTGGCAGGATCAACCAGGTACATTCATAAAAACAAAACCTATAAGTACAAAACTAATACTGCAGTAAAACAACAACAATAAAAAGCCATGCTATAAATTTTACATATAAAAATGTAGGTCAATAATAATTTACTGTTAATAATATTAATAATTGTTATCAATAATAATTAATTTAGCAATAATTAGTTGGAAAGCTCACAATCTAATAGAAAATATGTGCTTTTGTATTAGTAACTTATCAATCTTAGACTTAAAAATAGGATAATATCATCTTAGGTTTATGATTTCAGTGATGTGTAATTCTGTCAGGGTGAGTACTCCCTTCCCCAATTCAACCCAGAACAATGGCCAATTGGCTTCAGGTAGAGGGTGTTTTCTACTCCCTCTAGATAATACGGCATTGTCTATTTAAAAAAAAAAATAACCCCCACACCAATAAAGCCAACAAGGTCCTGTGCTAGTGCCTCAGGATGAAAAGAAACTGAGAGTCAACCAGAGGGATATGCCACTGACATAGCTACATAAATATGAAGTAATTGGAAGGAGAAGCTCCAATGACTGGTGAATGCAGGGAGAGCTTCTTGGAGGTGTGACACGGGAACTGAGACTTAACGGGAAATAAGGATGCTAAGAAGAGGTAAAAAAAAAGGACGGAGGGCACTTTCGGCATGAGGCTCATATAATGGATGCTGAGATGGGGAGAAGCTCTAGTCCATTTCAACTGTAACATCTCCGTGACTTTAAGAGATGGCTGTCAAGACCATTAGAATGTAAGCTCCACCAGGGAAGCACTGGTTTGTCTCTGTATCCCAATAACTTGGCATACTGTCTGGCAGGTAATAAACAACTGATAAATGCTTATCGACTGATTGATGAGAGTGTTGTTTTGTTTTGTTTTGTTTTTTTTTTTCATTCTCGCACACAAAAGATTTCCATCTGCAGTACTACTGACACATTGAAAAGTATGGTTGCTTTTCTTACAGTCTTTAGTGATTCTCCAAACTAGAGAAGGCCCTGTTTCCCTTTTTGCTCTGACTGGGAAAGTTTACACAGGTTAAGAAACAGTAGTTGTAGCTAATAATTGACCATAGAATCCATCAGGTATGTTATGAGTCAAGGTATTCAGGGAGAAAATGTTTAAACATATAATCATTCTGATCTTAGAATGTCATACAATACTAAGAAAAAACTTGTCTGGGAATTTAATTATGTAGAGCTAAGTCTCCCTATCTATATTTATCTACTTTTCTGTTACTTTTGATAAGATTTGTGCATTTCCTGTCCCTGTAATCCTTGGTTAGTCATGGAGCATGGAGATGCATGCTTGAAATTTTAAGGACTTATACCAAATATAGAGAATACCAGAGGTAAATCAAAGGTCCATGATTCTGGGAAAGAGAAAGGAAGGAAGGAAGGCAGGAAGGAAGGAAGGAAGAGAGAGAGTGAGACAGAGACAGAGACCGAGACAGAGAGGAGGGAGAGAAGGGAGAGAGAGAAAGAAAGGAGAAAGAAAGAAAACAAACATACTATGCATTAACACCAGAGATTTAGCTTTTCAAATAAAACACAACTTGGGTACCATAACTCACCTGACATGATAATCTGTGGCTGGCCTAAGGTCTTTCAGGCTACATTCTAATTCTTCTCCACTGAAAAGAAAAACCATCCATTAAGTTTTGAAAACAGCTTCAGAAACAATACTGGTACCAGTTTTCAGTTCCCAAAGGAGAAAAGGAGATGAATGAAAAGGTGATATTAAACTTCATAAGATAGGGAATAAACACTAAGGGTGCCTTTCCATATTCAGAAGATGGAAGATTAATTTTGCCAAAGGTATACTCCAAAAGCTAGCAGTTGGCCTGTCTTCCCCAGTAGGATCACAACATTTCTTTTATTTTCTTTTTTCTTTTTTTAAATAATAATAGCTCACATTTATATAGTGCTTTATTTATTTATTTTGGGTGAGGCAATTGGGGTTAAGTGACTCACACAGCTCGTGAGTGTTACGTATCTGAGGCCGGATTTGAACTCAAGTCCTAATGACTCCAGGGCTGGTGCTCTATCCACTGAGCCACCTAACTGCCCTGGATCCCATCATTTCTAACAACCAAGTTTAAGGAGCTAATGTCATCACACTCATGGTCACTTTGTAGGTCCAGTAGACTGCAAACCCCTTGTGTGTAAGGATTATTTCATTCTGGTCATACCCAAGCACCTAGCTATCACTGAGCTTTGAAAACAGCAGGTTTGAATAAATGCTTGTTGAGTTGAATTGGAAATGAAATCAAGTCAGAGCCCAGGTAACTTGACTCCCCTAATATTCTCAAAATGGATGTCTTCAGTTCTGTTGGGAAGGCCTACTTCCTTTCCATGGGGTTTTCTTTTTGATGCTAATAATTATTCAAATAAAAAAAAAACCACAGAAAATGTATTTTTAAATAAACTCAAAGGTAAAAAATTAGTTAAAATTAGTCATATTTTTAAATTTCAGGAAAGACTTTTAACAGAAAATATCCTTTTAAATTAAGAGGATGCCCCCAAATTATGAATAGTTATGTTCTAAAGGTTTCCTGCCAAATCAGTCAACTAGATCTTGGACCACTTTGTCCCTGAGCATCAATGTTCAGAGCAGTGGCTGGGTTCTCAGGCTGGCCCCCAAAACCTATTCACTTCACAGTGTGCCTGAAATGTATGCTAACAGCAGCAAAGATTCCAGTGGGCATCAGAGGGGAACATTAATTGTTCTTGACTTGGGTTAGTGTCCATTCATTCTCACTCTGCTATAGGGAGGACAAAGACTGTCAGCCCCTAATGCTCTCCAACTCCAAGGCAGGAACAGGAGTGTTTTGCTGTCTTCCATCTACTTGTGGTGACTCCTATGGAGTGGGGCAGGGAGAAGGGGTGATGGAAAGTGTGAAAAGAGGATAAGGAATTAGAGGAAGGGTCTTGGGCCCTAAAGAGCCCCAAACCATTGGCTTTTCATGAGAAGGGAGAGGTGACTGGCTCTTTGACTTCACTGGCCCAGGGAGTTTTCTCTGTATTATAGGAGAGTTCTTAGGGCACTGATGTTAAATGATGCGTCCATTGGCACAGAGAGTATGTGTCCCGGGAGGGACCCAAAGCCAGTTCTTCCTGGCTTTGAGGTCAGCTTTTTACTATCAGGATCACAGATTTAGAATTAGAAGGGATCAATTTACAGATGAATAACCCACAGTACAGAGGGATTAAATGACTTTTACAGGCTAACACAGCTAGCAAAGATTCTGAGGTGAGATTTGAACCCAGGTCTTACTGATTCTGGCTCCACTGTTCTCCTGATTATATCATACTGCCTCTCAGAAAAGACTAATGTGTGGCACTGTTATTATTTAAAAATGAACTTTAAACTTTACTCATTAGAGAGGTCAATGGCAAACATTAATTTTACTAGGGTTATTCCATTTTCCTCCCTGGGGAAGGGAACAGAAAGAAATAATCCATAGAGCCTCACCTGTAAATGATCTTGTACTTTCCATCCCTCCCTTTGTCTGATAAGGCCACTTCATAGCTGTAGGGGTAGGGGGGGCTGTTGTGGGGTCTATCTCCACTTGAAAGGCCAGTGGGAGGGGACCACGTGAGCAGGACTGTCCTTGCCTGGACATTAGAGACCTACAGGAGAAAACCAGGATAAAAATGGTCAAATCGACTCCACGCAAACCCTCTGCTTACTCACACCAAAGAATAACAGCATTGTACTTACAAGCCCGAACATGATGGTGAGTTTTAATTTGCTAATGGGTAAGAATTTTTAATTAAAATGGGTTACAAAAAGAAAGGGAAGAAATAGATTTGACCAAATTCTTAATAGCATCATGAACCACACTGTACATCGTTCAACATCTGGCCTGATAACAGAAAACATCTGTACCAACAATAGTGATATCAAACAAGGTGGATACATTGTATATTCTGGGAGGAGCCTAACTGTATCTGCTACTTTCATACAATTGTAAGAAAGGTAAAACTCAATTCTCTTGAAGTTGAATTTAACAATCATATCCTACAATTAAACAATTCTCTGACTTAAAATCTGATTAAAAAAAAAAAGGTACTTAGCATACTGATAGACGGCACATCTCAAATATGGAAGCCCTGGGTTCAAATAATACTTCTGACACACACCGTGTGACCTGGGACAAATCACCGAAATGCTCTCAATGACCCACTGGAATACAATTAGTTTCAGAGAAATTGATGATTTACATTTACATTTATATTCGTTTTTGGGAATTTCTATACCAGTGAAATCATAGGTCTAATGATTTCTCCTCCACCCCCGACCATCCCCCAAGTATTTGTTGTCCAGGATTTGGAGTTGGAGGGGCTGGTTTTGAATCACTCACTTACTACCTGGGTGAGATTTAGCAAGATACGCAGCCTTTCATCCTCAGTCTCTTCATCGATTAATTGAGGGGGTGGAATTTCCCTGAGGTTCCTCAAAGTTCTAAACCTATGATCACTAAATGGTAAAGAAAGCAATGCATTCTAATAATTAGTGAAAATTCATGGTTTGTTAGTGCTTAAAAAAAAAAAACTATGAAAAGAATCCATTCATGAGTCCAATAGACCAATGAATTACTTATTTCTCTACCTCTATGACATAATATTTATCATAACCTTACTGGAATGGCTACATTTTTAAAAATAATTTTGGGACATCTTTTAATTTTTGCATCATTTACATTTCCTTATGTAGCCCTCTCCCACACCATCAAGGAGCCATCTCTTATAACAAAGAACAAAAGAGATTTAAAAAAAAAAACAGTCCAACATATTGAAGAAAGTCTCATATTATTTGTAGTGTTCCACACCAATACAGATGCCTAGCTGTATAATGAAGGGAGGGAGGTATCTTCATATCTCCTTTCTCTGGAGTCAAGTTAGATCTTTATAATTTGACATCATTCAGTTTCAGCTATGTTGTTGCAACCATCATTCTTTCCATTTACAACATGGTAACAAATGTATATATTGTCTTCCTAGTGTAGCATCCCTCACCTTGCATCAGTTCATATAAATCTTCTCATGCTTCTTGGCATTGATCACATTCATTGTTATTTATAACATAAAAATATTCTATTACTTTTATGCACCACAACTAGGCCAACTATTTCGCAATTGATGGGAATCTACTGTTTCCAGGTCTTTGCCAGCACATGAAAAAATGCTGCTATAAATATCTGAGGTACATGAGAGTTCTCTTTTTAATCACTGACTTCCTTGGGAGAGTTCTCTTTTAAGTCACTGGACTTCCTTGGGGTAGTGGAATTTCTGGGTCAAAGGAAATTTTATTTGCTTTCTTTGCATAATTTTATCGTGATTTTTAAAAAGAGAGACATGGCAAACTCTAATTTGAAAAAAAAACTGAGGTCTACTTAGTGGTTTATTTTTTAAAATTTCAAGAGGGAGAGCAGCCCTTTTTCCTAAATTTGTTGACGTCTCTCGTTGCTCTGCTCAGAGACCTTCAATGGTTCTCTATTCCTTACCAAGTAAAGCTCAAACTCCTATATTTAACTTACAAGCTCCTCTATAAACTATAGCCACCACTATTTTCCAAGCTTATTCAGCCCACCACATATTTTACATCCCAGGCTTTGAACAGACACCTGAAATTTCCTGACACGATGCTATTGCTAACATTGTATCCTATAGCTGGATTGTCATCTGTGTGTTATATCCTCACCCTAATCTGTAAACTCAGAGGCCAGGGATTATATTATATTTAAATTTACCATGTCTTCTAGCATAAGGAATAGACTTTTGCAGGCAGCTAAGGGGTGCAGTGGATAGAGCGTTAGACCTCAGGTCAGGAAGCCTGTGGTTCAAATCCAGCCTGGTATGGTGTAACCCTGGGTAAGTCACTTAATCTGTTTGCCTCAGTTTCATCTGTAAAATGGGGGAAATAGCATCTATCTCATGGGGTAGTTGTGAGGATCAAATGAGAAAATATTTGTAAAGCATTCAGCACAGTGCCTGAATATAGTAGGTGATACGTAAATGCTAGCTATATATGAGAGGGGACTCTTAAGTATTGGTGAATTACCAATTCATTATCAAACTATAAGGAAAGGAAGAGAATGAAGAGTTTTGAAATAAATGGATAGAAATACTTTTGTTATCTACTGTCAGTATACACTATAAATTTTGCTAAGTAGAGCTCTGCTAAGGCAAAGACTTTTTTTTTTAATTAAGTAAACTGATCAGGTCCTGGAAATCAGAGAAAGAAATTACAACTTCATAAGAATTTGAGGAAATGGTCTGTATTAAGCAATAACTACTATTCATATGGTTCCTTAAGGTTTGCAGAGTACTTTGCATATATTTTCCCATTTGATTAAGCAATGATTTCATGAATGGCTACTTAAAATAATATTCTGTCTTTCAATAAATAGCAAATATAAATCATGTCCCTTAAGATGCTAAATGGCCATGGATTGCTATCAATTTGCATTCCTGGCTTTGTGGCTTATCTGGGCACCATTTTTCTTTTGAAAAGTTAGCTAAATTAACATGCTACATTGCAATAAATATTCAGCCTGTGACATCTATTTTCCACTGGTTCATCAGTGTTGGGTTTATGAAGGAAAACGGTCCCTGAGCCACAGCACTCTTCCACTAAGGTTACTCTGTGCCTTTTAGGGAGCTCAGAATAACTAAGGGTAGTAACTAGTTTAATTTGCAATGGAAAAATACTGGCAGCTTTCCTAGAGGGGTGCATAACAATATCCCTTTTCCTTATTTTTTGACATTTAGAAAAAAAATCATATGACAAGAGAGAAAAATTAAAGATATAAGCACTGGCCATGTAGAGACATAACCATCCCTATCTTCAGCTAGTAAGATGCTTTACTTAGAAAAATCCAGAGAATTTGCAGAGAGATTATTTGGACCAACCTAGAAGGGAACTGAGGTTCAGAGACATGAAGTTATTTCCCAGTAGTCACAAAGTCACAGATGGGGCCTTGTGGGTCACATAATCCAAACCCTTCATTTTACAGATGAGGAAACTGAGGCCTGGAGTAGAAGGAAGAAGAAGTGACTTCCCCAAGATCATAGAACTAACAGAGAGGGAAATTCTAACACACAGGGATACTAGAGGAGGTAACAGTGAATATACCTCCATTAATTTTGGAAAATATATATGTCAAGAGGTTTGATAACCAGACAGTAGCCAGGCTGAAGTTCAGGGGTGCTTAGCCTTTTTTAGGGCATGGATCCCTGTGGCAGTATGGAACCTGCAGATGCCATCTCTGAATAATGTTGTTAAATTCATAAAACAAAATATATGGGATTACAAAGGAAAACAATTACATAGAAATGAAATTATCAAAATATCAAAAGAAAAAATTTCAGACTCCCAGGTCAAAAACTCTTACTGTAGTACGAAAAAATGGGTTTGCTAGGCATATTAATAATTGAAGTTGGTATAAAAATGAATTTAGAGATCATATGAAGTTTCCGTTATTTATCATTCATATACTCATAAAAATCATTGTCATCTGTTTATTAAAACAATATCCTGAGAAACTGCTATAGAAAACAATTAGCCTAATTTTAGCCAGTCTGTGTACTAGGAAGTGCTACAATTTCATTTCCTTTTAATCATTCACATCTTTAGCCTGTCTTTCCTCCCTCTACTTTTGGCTTAATCCTCTCCTCATCGTTTCCTTCCTAACCCTTTCCCATTCCTCACCCTGGGCCATCAGTGCCAAGTATTAAGGTTTTGCCTGAATCAGAATACCCATCATGTTCCCAACAAGTCTCCAAATTAGGGCTGCCATTTTCCTACAGAGAGAAACTCAGACTGAGTCATCTTAGCTTGGCTTCAGGGAGGGAGAGAGGGAGAGGATAGGTGGCCCAGGGAGGTAGTTGAGAAGCCCAGGAAGGCATTTTGGGTTCCTATGGAAAGGTGGCTGACCTCCAGCTTCAAAAGTGCCCCAAGACAACAGTGTGATAAAGTGAGGGAAAACAAACCACCCAGGAGAGCATTCTCTAAGAAAGAGGTCCTTGTGAACCCAGGAATTTCACAACCAACAGCTTCCTTCCCCAATTTCTGATTGTCTGAGAACCATCAAAGGGTCCTGCATTTATGCAGCTGTTTACCTTTCAAGGAAATATCACTGACAGGGGACAGATGCCTATATTAGGTCAGTTTGCTCACTAGTGGGCCCTTGAAATCAATTGTTGATTGAAGTTCAATGGAGTTACTCATTAGCAAGTGTGAACAATAGTGAATGCAAAGTCCAGGTTGTGTCTATTTGTAGGGCCAAAGTAAACTGCTCATTAATATTAGTGAGAATATTTCCAGCATTACTACCAAAGAGAGTTAAAGCCATTTGGAGGAGTTTTTTTTTTTTTTAAAGAAACATAGATACCTCTTGTAAACTATTTAAAATTATTTTTAATGTTATTTCTGTACTACAGCTATGGTTTTAAATTCCAAATCACTGACTTACTTTTGCACAATTCCCATGGGATGGCATAAGCCTACTGCCATGTCCTGTATACCTTAGGCAGTTGGATCACTAAAGCTGGAAAGGATCCAGTCCAAGGCCTCATTTTCTACAGAAAGAAACTGAGGCCAAGAGAGGGGAAGGGACTTTTGGGAGGTCGGAGGCCCTAGCTATGGAGGTGGCACTCAAACTTGGGTTCTGAGTCACCAAATCTGGTGTTCTCTCCACCAAATGAGTCTTGCTGCCTCATTCCAACTACATAGCTCCCCAGGCCTGGAAACCAAAGCTTCCATTACTTTCTACTACAGGAATACCAGTAGGAAAACAGGAATTCAGTTAATGAATGGCTCAATATGCACTTACTTTATGTCAGCCCTATGCTGTGTGGCAAGGGGTACAAAGAAAGATAAACAGATCCCCTGCTCTCAAGGAGCTTCTTCCATGTTGTTCTATGTCCAGCATAAAGCCATAATTTAAAAATAAAACACACACCTTTTATATTCAAAGGGTTACAGCTCATAGTGTTATTAACTGTAGCTAGAAAAAAGAAGGTAAGTACATTGAGGTTCTTTTCTTAACCAGTAGGAGAGACTCTATCCTTTGTTTCCCAACTGCAGTGGCCACCATCTTGGTGGTTTCTTTACTTGCAGAAGGACACCTGGAATCCTTCTTCCCATCTCTGGGGCTAGTCCTATCACTTATTTGGCAGCTGAATCACGGTGTCACTTTGGTTCTATTCAGTTTCCTGGAACTCCACAGCCATTCTCTATTACTTAATGCTATATACTGGATGGGCCACAGTACTTTTTAGGACCCTCAGTGCTGAAAGGGATCTCAAAGTCATTTGGTTTCTGGGAAGACCTCAAGTAGGGAGGAAACTATTTACCAGGGTAGCCTATTTCACTTTTAGATAGCTGTAACTATTAGGAAGTTTTCCCTTATAATGAGCCTAAATTTAACTCTGATTAATTCACCTATTGTATCTGGTTCTGTCTTCTAAGGTGAAGCAGAAATAGTCTAGTCGCTTCTTCCATATAATAGCCCTTCAAATGCTTGAAAGTAGCTATTATACACCCCTTTCCCCATATATCTGTTCCTCAGGCTAAGCATCATAAGGCTCTTCCATTGATTCCAAAAAGCCATTCAGCTTAAAAAGATCCTTCACAAAATATATTCCAAGAGCTGAATACAGAACCTTATATCTGCCTCCTATGAAGAAGTGGGGCAGTATGGGTACCTATGATGTTGAACTTGGGGGACATGTTGGTTATTTTGGTTGAATTGTTTCTTTCCCTTTGATTTTTATTCTTTGTTATAAGGGACAGGTCTTCAGGAGAGAGAGAATTCTATAGGGAAATCGTAGTAATACAACCACAAAAGATATCAACAAGAATTTTTAAAAGCTATGAGATCGGTACAAAAAAAAAAGTGTCAAGGAAGGCAGAAGAGATAGAGGCATGACTTCTGACATATTCAAAGCATGGGCTATACTATACTGTATATGGACACACTATGATATTTCCAGGTTGAAGGATTTCATTTATTTTCATTTCTCCTGGAAGAAAAAAAAATACGCATTGGCAAAGTAAAATACGGTTGGGATGACAGTAAGTGTGTCGGTATGGATTTTTATTTACACATATATGAACATACACGGTAGACAGAGAGATGAGTAGACAGAGAGGAGGGGAGGGATAGATAGACAGATAGATGAATTTAAATCATAGAACACAGATCTAGAAAGGAACCTCCCTTATTTGACAGATAAGAAAACATTTACACACATACACAGACATATACACCAACATTTATACATACAGTTGCTTTTTTGATAAAGCTCCAAAAGTCTTTGAAAATAAAGAGATGGGCAATTTATATCATTCCAACAGCAGATTTGGGACACACATCTAAGGAGACAAAATCTGATAACTATTCACCTTGATGAGATGTCCCAACTCTTGCAGAAGATTTAAAAAATGGGTCAGCCTTTTAAAAACAAACAAACAAATAAACAACCAAAAAACAAAGAAAAGAGGAACTTGTGTTTTCAGGTTAAGATTTCCTCTGGTTCTGAAGTGCCCAGTGTTAGGAGAAAGACTGAGTCTACATTTTGGCTTCTTACACCTGGATTTCAGAGCAACTGCAGGTCAGAAACCTAAATATTTAAACCACAGAATCTTCCCCTGTGCTGATTTTTGTTTACTCCAGGTGGACCGAATATTCTGGACATAATTTCTCCCTGATAACATCCAAATGCTAGTATAGAATTAACCAGTCAAAATAATTAGAGCGCCAGTTTGGGTTAAGTTGCTATTTATATGGGTAAGGAGCAATTTTCCAAAAGAAAACATAGGAACAGTCTGGGCTGGGGATCTGAAAAAGGAAATCCTGAGATGCTTGGAAGGTGGGAAGAGTATCCCTTTGCGCTCAGAACGTCTAAATAAAGAGGTCTGAGTATACTATGACAACACAGGAGTCTCCTATTCAGGACTCTTCATGCTCTATTAATAACCAAAGACGATTTCATATTTTATGAGGAACCTGCAAAGGTTCATGGCCCTGCCTCTTAACTACCATCTGGTGGAAGAAAAGAATACAACTTGAAATATTTATGAGACTGTCATTGATGCTGAGAAATCCCGAAGACATACCTGTGGTTTCTCAATTCCTGAAAGAATGTCTTGAACCCTTTTTGCTTCCGAGTCATACTCTATGGAAAAAAAAAAAGAGAGAGAGAGAGAGAGAGAGAAGAAAAGAAAAGAAAAGTAAGTTACTACCAGTAGATGGCACCCACTCCCAAATCCTTCAGGTTTTCACAATGGCGTCTTAACTAGGAACCATTACAACTTAGTGTTATCTAACAAGTGAACTTTTGGCAACATTTTTCTATTAAGGAATGAAAACCACAAGACACGTATCTTGTCTATGACAAAGCCAACTCTGCACAAGGCCAAGGGTTCTGGGTGAAGGGATGTGGGATGTGCTAACTTGGAAACACATCCAGCTGGTCTATATGTGTTGATGAGTTTCACACTAGGTTTTATTTAGCAAGATGTCAGCCTTAGGAGAAAGAATTAGAGCTGGAAGGAACAACTCAGTCCAATCTTCTCATTGTATGGATGAGGAAAGAAGCCCGGATACGAAGAATAACTCGCTCAAGGCCACTGTTACTCAATGGTAGAGTGAGTGGGAGGTTCTGCAATTTGATTCAAATCAATTCAATTTGATCCAATGTGTTTTTATTAGTAGTCAGGCACTGTACCAAGTACTGGAGATGCAAAGAGATAAATAAATGATCTTTGGAGGCCCACAGCTCGGCACAATGCCTGGCACATGGTGGACATTTAATGAATGCTGGCTAATTGATCAAATCTTTGGGAGAGAATGAAGCGATAGAGCAACATATATTTTCATCCCTCTCCGGGCTGCACTACAGACCCATCTTTTAGAGAGAAGGGTCAAGGGCAAAAAGGATGAAAGATGCGAGAAAAGGCACAAAAACTTTTGCTGGTGACATTCAAGACTGCAAACCCTCAAAGGGCAAAGACAATTTTATTTTTGTCTTTGTATACCTAGCAAGCACTTAATAAATGGTGATTGGTTGACTGGCGAAATGATAGCGACAAAGCTGAGCTCAAAAGGATTTAAGACATCATGCTTAAAAAAAATCTGGCAGAGAAAATTAGGGAAGAGATGATGCGATACTTGGAAGAAGTAGCAAACTTGAGAGTCGTTTTCAAAGCAAGAAGAGAGACAATAATGATAATGATGGTAGTAGTAGTAGTAGCAGCAGCAGCAGTAGCAACAGCAGCAGCAGTAGCAGTAGGAGCAGTAGTGGAAGCAGTAGCAGTAGTAGTAGTAGGAGGAGCAGTAGTACTAGTAGTACTACTACTACTACTAGTAAAAGACAAGGCCCAGGATGCTGTGAAGCAAATGGAGGTTGGTGCAGGAATATTTTCAGATGTGCACATTAAGAGCTTCACAGGAAGAGCATGAGATAAAGGACTGGTAAAAGAAAGATAATGCTTTCAAAATGAAATTGCTCCATAAAAAGCAGTCTTATGTCCAAGGGACTGTGAACATACTTAGTGGGTAGTGATAGAAATGCAAAAGAAAGAAAAAGATAATAAAAGAAAAATTTCCAAAAGGAAACAAGCAAACAAACAAAATAAATAAATAAATGAACTCGGTGCTACAAATAGGTTGTTACTGTTTGTATACTCTCAGAAAAGAAGAATGACCTTTATATTGAAAACGACAGAACAAAAATAGCTAATGGAGCTGATGCCTGAGATAAGGAAGGAGATAGTGGGTGAGCATCTGGCAGCCCTGATGAATTCAAGCCCCAGAAGCCAAAGAACTGCATCCTCTGGGCCTAAAAAAACAAAATTAAAACTTGTAGATGTGGGGCAGCTAAGTGGCGCAGTGGATAGAGCACCGGCCCTGAAGTTAGGAGGACCTGAGTTCAAATCCAGCCTCAGACCAAACACTTGACACTTACTAACTGTGTGACCCTGGACAAGTCACTTAACCCCAACTGCCTTAAAAAAAAAACCAACCCCCCCCCAAAAAAAGCCCTGTAGATGTGACAGCTGAGCTAGCTGCCGTCAGTGATCCGTGTTAGTTAAGTGCATGAGAAAAAAAGAAAAAGAAAAGAGAATGAATTAGTCAGGAACAGCTACATTCAAATTCAGTCTGAGACACTTACTAGTGGTGTGATGCTGGATAAGTCACTTAAGCTCTAGATCTGCCTCAGTTTGCTCATTTGTAAAATTACAATAGGTTTTACCTCCCAGAGTTGTAAGGATCAAATGAAATATTTGTAGCACATTTTACAAACCTTAAAGTGCTATGTACATGTTATGATCATTGTTAATTATTAATTATTGTTATCATTATCAGAAGACAAGGAGCAAGGTCATAGCTAACATTCAAACATTTTGATTGTTCATCTATATTGTACCATACTCTGAAAGACATATAAAAGAATACAAAATCCAAATTTTATGTGAATTAATGAGAAAGAAATAAATGTTCCAGGCAGACTATAGGTTACCTAAAGGAAGGAATGATTCTCCTTTTGTTTGATAATCCTAACTCCAGGCAAAAAGCAAACCCTCAATAAAAGTTCCATCTTTTTTTTTTTTAATTTTAAAAATTCCCTCTTTTAATGCACTTGATTGCTTCACTATGAGTGTCAATGCAAGACAACAGCTCAACACAATGCCTGGAACACAGCAAGTACCATGCTGACTGACTGAGCAGAACACAGCAGACTTCTGATAACCTGTCAACCTGAAGACTGATCGAAAACATTACCTCCTTCTGCTATAGCAGAAAGACCACCAGATCTGAAGGGAGAGAACTCAAGACCAAAGCATGCCTTTGACACTTACCACCTATATATGACCTAATCCCTATTTTCTCTGTTTCTCAACTTCCTCATTAGCAAAACTAGATGGTTAAACTGGGTGATACTGGGTGGTACTGAAGACCCCTTCCAACCCTCCAATCATCATAGGCAGAGAGGTAGCTAACTAGGGGTGTGGAGTGAGGCACATGCATTGTTCAATGTGTGGATTTACTCTGCTTGCCTGTGAAAGGAGGATGCTATGGGGAGGGGAGGATAGTGTTACTGGGAAATGATAGGATGACAGTGATGTTTTAAAAAACATCATTAAACCTTTTTTAAAAGGAAACAATCTGGTGGCAGCTGCATATAAAATATTCCTCAAAAGCTAATGCACCAATATGAATATGTTGTTTTCCCCAACATGATCTGAATAACTAAGTTAATTCAATTCACCACGCATTTCTCCTTTATGAAACACTGACATGTGTCTGAGAGTGACCCGAATGTGACTCATCTTGCTCAGAAAATCCCTCCATGGCCCAGCTGCACCTCAAATGGAGGTTGTGAAGCTTGGCTTAAGTTTCCCATGAAACAAAGCCAGCCACAAGCATGCAGACATGGGCTCCCAGGAAGGGGATTTGGGGTGGGGAGAGAAAGAACAGGAACAGAACGTAATTCTCCAAGAAAATTAAAATGTTTTAAAGGCAACAGCCTTGGGGCTTGTACAGAGATTCTTTATTTTGATATCATGGGACTTTTCTAATATTCTGTCTCCTATTTTGAAAGGTAATTAAGAGTTGGCTGCATTTTTATTAAAAAAAAAATGATACCTTCTATTTTTATGTTATATGTGTGTGTGTATATGATGCTTTCCAGACATCTTTATTTCACTTTATTGAAATCTTTAGCTTTTCAATTATCTTAATTTCTGAATAAATTCCTCTCCCTTTCCTGCCCAGTGAGCTGCCCCTTGTACTAAAAAAATGAAAACCGAAAGGGAACTGAACTACTATCCTTGAGTTCAGCCAAAGCAATCAACAATTCAGGTGAGTCTGACAATCTAGTATAACCATGGTTCATGCCCACAGTCCTCCACCCCTGAAAGGAGGGGAGATAAGAGCATTTCCTCAACTCTTCTATGGGGCCATGATTGGTCATTATAATCACACAAAGTTCAGTTTCATTTCAATGGCCTTTCCTTGTACGTTGTTGCAATTATGGTGTATACTGACTTTTTGGTTCTGCTGGTTTCGCTCTGTATCAGTTCATACCAATCTTTTATTACTTTTCTGAATTTTTCCTATGCCTTGCTTCTTACAACATAAGGAAGTTTCTTTCTGTGTTCATGTGTCACCATTTACACAGGCATCACCCTACTGATGGGCAGTACCTACCGTGTGTCCAATTCTTTTCTTAAAAATTTTATTATTTTTAACAATCTTTTCTTTTTAAAATTTAAGTTACAAATTCTCTCCCTCTCAACCCTCCCCCATACGCTGAGAAAGCAAGCAAAATCATACCAATTATGCATGTGAATTCATGCAAAACATATTTCCATATTAGCTATATTTTTTAAAAAAAATAAGCAAAAAAAGTAAGAAAATTGTACTTCAGTTTTCACTCAGAGTTCATCAGTTCTCTCTCTCTGAAGCTGGATAGCACTTTTTCATCATGAGTCTTCTGGGATTTTTTTGGATCACTGTACTGATCAGAGAAACCAAGTCTTTCATAGTTGATCATCATTGTTTTGGAGAGCATGGCTTTGAGGTAGTCCATTAATTCTTACATTATTTCTTCTGGATCTATTTTCCAATTCATATTCTGTTTTTTATTCTTTCAATTTTTGTTTTTATTGTTTCCTGATATCTCCTGGAGTCATTAGCTTCCACTTGTCCAATGATAATTCTTAAAGGAATTATTTTCTTCAGTGGGCTTTTGTACCTCTTTTTCCATTAAGCCAACTCTGTTTTTTAAGGTGTAATTTTCTTATTTTTTGTGTGCCTGTTTTACCAAGCTAACTTTCATAATTTTCTTGCATCACTCTCACTGCTTTTCCCAATTTTTCCTCTCCCATTCTTATCTCTTTCTTTAACTCTTCCAGGAATTCTTGTTGGGCTTGTGTCCATTAGCATTTTTCTTTGAGGCTTTGTAGCTGTTTTCACATCAGTGCCTTCTTCTGAGTTTGTGTATTGGTCTTCCTTGCCACCGTAGTAGGTTTTTATGGTCAAGTTCTTTTTCTGAGGTTGATATTTGCTCATTTTCCTAGTCTATTTCTTCACTTTGAACTTTATGTTAAAGTTGTACTATGCTCACACTGGAGTGGGGAAGCAGTGTGCCAAGCTTCAGGCTATTTTGTG